GAAAGAGAGGGTTCCACACATTTAACTATGAACTTTCAACCTTTTCTATATATGAACACACATTGAGTTTTGAAAACCACTGAAATAATTACCCGATTAGATGCTAACTTCATATGTTTAGATATTTGAAGCTTGTTAGTAGTAAATAATTAAATTATGGATTTTTTCAGATTTGTTTACATGTAAGATTCGAAGTTTCAATAAAAAGTAGGAATCCAAGGAAAGTGAGTCCAAATGGTGTTGGAGCAAAAATGTTAAGGCTTTGGATTTTAATTTTCACAACTGCTCAGATTCTTTAATTAGGAGAGATAAAGAGCTAAAAAAGCTTTATTGTCTAGCCTTAAACAGAAACAGAGCATCACATCACTTTCACTTTTGTTACAATTAATATTTGACAAAAGAAAAAACTGAGTCTATAAACTATGAACTTGGGATGAATCTATTGATAAGAAAACTCAATTGTCTCTATGTCGCATTTATGTTACAGACCATTAAAAATTGCATAAACAAAGACAAAGTAAAGTAGACTTGAAGAGTATTTATGTATTGTTGTTTTTGTGGAGCAGACAGTGTTCTTTTCTTTAACTATACGTTTCATGTTAATGTCTCTTTAGCTTTCTGGGCTGTCTCTCTTAGGAGTCCAATCTCTTAACTTTATTTTTTCAAATTAAAATTCCATTGATTTATTATGTTAACTAAAATTATAAAAAAAGTAGGCATTGTTACATCACATAATGGTCATTGGCTGTATTGATAATAATATTAGGTTCTTGAATTATCATGGGAAGTGTAAATACTAAATAGTGTATTCTAATATAGTAACTTTGTTATAAAGCCTACCTTGGATGTTGGATCGACAAGACTCCTATGAGCTATTATACGATCTGTCTTTGGACATGCATGTCTGGTCTCTAGGGATCCTTCTTGTGAGAATTTCGATGTAATTAACTTTATAATGTCTACTAGTCATGATGAATGTCTAATCCTCTTTATACTTGTAATAATGAAGTCTAATTTAAACAATTATTCTTTTCTTCTACAAAATTTCCAAAGGAGCTACACACTTATTAGTTGCATGTCTCATTGATTTATATTCTCCCTTCGTTTTTTACTATAAGATGTTTTAGAATTTTTTTTTATTTCATGTTATAAGATATTTTCAGATTTCTATGTACCTTTTACTTTATTAAAAACTGTATAACCAATAGTATTATGCAATTTTTTTTTTAATTTGTTGAATTGTTTATATTTAATAATTTTTTTGATAAAAAAGTTTTTCATAAACTTTGTGATTTAATCCAAAACATCATATAATAAGAAACGGAGGGAGTGTTTATTAATGTAAGAATAGAAAGAAATAAAGACTGGGTTTTTCAAGGTTTCAAAATAAGAAATCAAAATTTTTGTCATAACTCTTTATATATTGAACAGAACATGGAACGAGATATTAAGCGTTTTGTTGAAGTAAATATAGAGAGGCATGCAATAGTATTGTGGAGAAAAGTTATAGCAAGAGAGATCATTATTATGATATGTACTTGTAAATTAACGTGGCATGTTCATGCATAGACAAAGAAGCAATCATATCTCCACGTTTGTACGCAGCTTCATATAATCAAATCATATAGTCCTACAAACAAAATGAATGTTTGCTGCTGAATTGAAAATCAATTATTTGGATAGTACCTGGTCTCAAAGTGACATCAAATGATTTTGGTTGATTTTAAAAGCATGGGGTCCCTTCAAACTCATGAGTCAGTATCCATTTTAAAGATGAAAAAGGATCAAAAGGAGCACAAAACAAAGGTCGGTAATGGGTCCATAAAGATATATGTAGATCGGTCGACATGTATGTCATAGGTTGTGTTGCGTGTATAACAGTTTTTAGTCCCGATTCTAGCTAGAAAGATGAACGAGTCGAATAGTACAATAGAAACGATCCTATTTATTATATCTAAGCCAAGCCAAGTGGTAGTTAGACCAATAACTTGGGAAAGAGGATTACACCTTACTGATTTTTGGGTGCTTGAATTCGATTTCCACTGAAAATTAAGTCGTTTTGCTTGCCCAATTGGATTACTAGACTTCGGTCCATGTCTTCAATCCGTTGCAGGCTTATGGAAAACACCCGCAAAAGGAGCATGCTCTAATAGAATATAGGAATAATAAAAAAACGATTTCAAAAAGTCATTTGTATATTCAGTTACTTAATCTTGTAGATATTCTTGTTAATATCTCACTTTTTCTCCTGATTTCATGTAACAACTTTAGCTATTAATAGTTTTGTCGATCAATATATCGATCCCAATCAAGGGATTTCACCATCTTACATGGTATCAGAGCTTCAAAGCTCCTGAACCTTTTCTCTTTCATTTTTTCCTTTCTCAATTTTTTCTCTCTCTTCTTTTTTAACTCTTTCAATGGCTGCTCCTCCAGCACCCCCTCCAGCACCACAAGCAATTGAACGAGCATTTGGTGTTACCAGATCCCGGGAGTAGTCGATGTTGGCTCCTACATTCAGTTTTGAGAAGTCTGCAAACAAATATCGGTTGTATCTAAAAACAAAAAGAGAAGTATGCAAACAAATACCGGTCTAATCTAAATAAGGTTATATGGGTTGTTAATTTTGTTATATCTAGCTGGAGTGATAAAGATGAAGAGTTTCAGAAAAATTTGCTGATATTATTAAGTTTTAGGTCTCAACATTGGGGAATTTTGAACTCGGATTTGACAAGCGAAAATTTTAAATTATGAAAAGTGAAAAAAATACAAAATTAGTGTTAGAATCACGAAAATATAGTACTAATCACGATTCCACCCTTTTTTAGTAATTTGGTAAGAATTTGTGGAATCGCTAAATTTTACCGCCATTCTATAGTCTTACAAAAATAAATAATCTTTTATTATCGGTAATTTCATACCGATATTCAAATAATCAGATTAATCTTCGATGCATGTGAAAAGGTGGATATTTTTGGCGATTTAAACATAAACAATGCTGATCCTAAATTAAAAACTTAAACAATCATCTGTCGAATTCTATAGTGAACCATGAGTTGGTAAAGGAAATTTGTTTTATAAGCTTTGAAAACAAAGAAGAGAAACGAGGTATGAGTGACTAACATGATGACTTTGTGCATGCTAACTAGCTACGCCATGCAAAAATAGGTGTGTGCCTCTGACTCTTTTGTCTGGAAGTACATTTGTATCGTTCTTCAAGACAGTAATTATTGTCTTAAAACCACACGCCCTGCGCCACAAAAAGTTGTTTCCATAGTGTTGTAACAAAGACTTTAAAAGCAAAACAGAGCAATCAATTTAATAAGCTCAAGCGGGTTTATTAATTAATACTATATGCTCTGCGAGTTTCGACCATTGGATTGAAACTATTGCATTTGTGGTCTTACATAAACCTACGTGTTCTCTTTATAAGCCAAACAAAAAATTTTCTTCGAAACGAGTTGCATAAGTTATATGGTGTTTTGATTGGTTATAGTGGTCCCAAGGAAGCAATTTCCTTTCTCTTTAACCTCTTTACTCTACTCTTGGTCTTGAGAAAAAATCACATTAGACAAATAAATATATTCAAATGTCTCTTCAACGACCCAATGGGAACTCCAGTTCTTCTTCTTCCCCTAAGAACCACAAAACTGGTACTACTTGTTTTATGAAAGATTTGTTTTTTTCTCTCTCTTTGAATTCGAGTATCTGAGAAATTTGGTTTTGTATAATTTTACAGAGGAGAGTGATGAGGAGTTGTTGATGGTTCCAGACATGGAAGCAGCTGGATCGACAGGTGTTCAAAGTAGCAGCGCCGACGATGGAGCCAATAATCCGGAGCTTGACCAGAACCAAAACGGAATCTCCACCGGAAAACGTCGCCGTGGAAGAAATCCAGTTGATAAAGAGTATAGAAGTCTCAAGAGGTAATAAAAATGAGTAATGTAAACCCATCAAATTTGTGCAATTGAAATGTAAATTTTGGTTTTTTTTATTTAATCGGGGATTAAAAATTGCAGATTGTTGAGGAACAGAGTATCTGCACAACAAGCGAGAGAGAGGAAGAAAGTGTATGTGAGTGATTTGGAATCAAGAGCTAATGAGTTGCAGAACAACAATGATCAGCTTGAAGAGAAGATCTCTACTTTGATGAATGAGAACACAATGCTTCGTAAAATGCTTATTAACACAAGGCCTAAAGCTGATGATAATCACTAAAGAGGAGTGACCTTTTAATCAATCCATTGTTCAATG